TAGTTGCAAACACTGAAGGCTTCTAACTATCAGAACCAGTTTTCTGAAGAATTTCAGAATTTCTTTTCTATAGCATCTCCCTCCTTGCCATTTCCACTATGATCTATACCTACCATCTAACTCAGAGTTTGTTGTGACCCTATGGGAAATTACAACAAACACTTTTTGGACAGAAGGGCGGGCATGTAGTAGGCTCAGGAAATAAGTAGACCAACTCGGCATCATCATCAGTTCACTGTTTGCAAACTATTCCTTGACACCATCGTGTTCTTTAGTTATTAACCAAATAAATAACTATAATAATTAACAATTTCATTATTAACCAAAAGCATCAGATTCTAAGCAGGTTCTTATTCTTCTGAGTGATTGATGGCACTGTTCTTTTGTTTCCTTTAGAAACCACTGAGAGGCAGCAGGTTTTCACATGGAAACTATTACTGTCTTTCATGTGTAAGGAAATCTTGAGCTTTGAATATCACATATTTTATTATTTTAATGATTTCCACGTGTCAGGTCACTGAAAATTATAACAAAAATGTCACTGTGTGCTCCTGTAAACGAATGTGATTTTTACTGGTTTAAGGAAGCTTGATGTATATGTTCTTTATGAGCAGAAAAAAACTGAAGAATGTCCTACCAGATGTGTCTGCAAAGCACGGTTTTTAGCTGTAGGGCACCCGAAGGATTGGATTCCTAAGTAACTTTATCACATGCACAACACACATTTAGGCACTACTTTTAGAAATGAGGCCAGGATATTAGGACAAAAGAATGAGAAGAGCTTTGATTTATTAGCTACAACTAGCTAGCCGAGTAAAGGAGTAGGCTATCTTACTCCGAAATCTCTGCTTCAGGTAAATAACTGTTAACCAGACACCCTATTAAAACAAATCCCGCTCTAACCAGATGATTAAACCGAGAAGTGAACAGTACAGACATACCTAATAGGGAATGCAGTTTATCCTTGCTTTTAGTGCCTCTGCTGTAGTTAGCTACATAGTGTGACCATCTGTTTGCCTTCGTCCTGGCTACTCAGCTACACCACAGGGAAGCAGACTCTCCCACAGGTCCGGAGTGAAGCGTTTTGGTTTGCCAGCATTAAATGCTCACCTGTGTGATATTCCCGATTATTAATAACCCAAGGGAATACTGATTTAGATCCGTGATTTTCTGCATATATTACTGAGAATAGACTAGCTAATCAGGTTTGCCAAGGGTTTCTGAACAGTTTCTGCACGAAGCTGTGAACCAAGGACCAAACCCTTGTTTGGCCGAACAATTTTCTGCATAGAATTTGAAAAGCGCTGGCAGTTACCATTTGGATATACTCCGGTCTCCTTTTTATTCTCAGTTGAGGACAACTTCCTGGCACAGCTTGTCAGTAACACTTGAGGGTACTTTAAGCTAAATATCCTGGTAAAAATTACAAGTAAAATTCAAAGGTCTGAGTTGCTACACTGTTCCACCTTGGGCAGTTCATAACAATTCTGTCTAGCATAAATGTGAAGCATGAATAGATCATAGTTCTTCACTTTCATAATCCTTTGCAGCCTTCCTTCCACAGACCTACATGACAAAACTAATGAACTCTTTTAATTTTCTAGCCAAAGGCAACTGGAGTGTGAGCTGTCCTGGCCACGCTGCTACACCTTTGCGATGTTGCATATTGCCACATACCAGAAGAAGCTAGTGGGGAAGAATCAGACTTATCAACTTAAGGATTGCCGCCCAAGGATTGCTTCACTTCCAGGCAAACACAGCTAATCCAGTTTCTGTCCCTTTGTGCAGCTCTATCAGTGTGAATAGAATGGAGCACATACGGCTTCAGGACCAAAAAACAAACAAACAAAAAAAAGCAAATCATCTTTCAGGTCAATGGTGCAAATACTAATTATCTTTAAGAGTCCTGTCTGCCTAGCAGAACCAGCAGAACCAGTCACATTAGACATAGGTGTAGCAGTATGAAAGCAGGGTGGAATAACAATGATTTGTCTGAGACAAGAATTCTCATATAATGAGATGCAGAAAGGCATCAGGAAAGGCAGCAGAAAGTTTAAAGAATGCGGCCCAGATTTGTTGTTCAATTATGGAGCAGCCTTCCAAGGCTAGCAGACAGAAACCTTGCACGGTCTAGCCCTGCAGAAGCAGTGGCTACAGTGGATGCAGCACTGCATGCCTGTCAGATCAGCTAAATTCTGCCCTGTTGTGTGGTAGATGCAGTGTCGTGTGACATTTAATATTACACACAGTGTCTCTTTGCCTCTGTGTTACTCAATGTGTAGGACAAGCCCACAAGTAGGCAGATTTAAGGAAGTCTGGTTAAATTTCTAAAGTACTTTAAACTTTGGAAGTTTGCGTTCTAATAATGTTGGGACTTCAGAGTAGTGTTGGAGGGGAGGCAAGGAGAAGGCAGTGTATAGACATGTTTTACATTTGTTAAATACCTTCCGACTTTTCTCTCCACTGTCCTGTGCCTTGTAATTTAAAATATGTCTACATCGTATGCCATAAGATTTTTTCAAAATAAGAGCTGACCTGGCCATATTCAAAGAAAACTTCATTTCAACCTTTTTATTCCGGCAGTAAAGTAAGAATGAAACATTGCAGAGTTGAAGACTTAATTAGCTTTGACAGTTCTTGTACAGAAAACACTTCCTTGTTAAATAAAAAATGCACATGTAAGTAAGTCTGTTCTGAAATTAAATAGAAATGTATTGCTCTTCTGGTTTCTGTCTGTGTATACAAACCTGGGAAGCCCTTTGAGGTTCCTTCCCCCGTCCTGCAGGCACACAAAGCGTCGCCAGGAGGCAGTATTTGCACAGGTTGCTCCGGGCCTGCGTAGTGCAAGTACAATTCGGTGAGATTTCATCACACAGAAAAAGTCTGAGCAGAAATTATATAGTGAGAAACAAGATTTTTAAAAAGCTTTTGCCTTAATAGGACACATTTTTGATTGTTCATGAAGCTGTAGTACTGTACTACTACTGAGAAATGCCTCTGTACAGAAGGGTGTGTAGGAAGAACCAGCTGACGTAATTTGAAAGAATATGCAAACTTTCCTGCATACATTCTTTTAACAGGGAAAGACTTCCCTTCCAAATGTGGCAGAAAAACACTGCTGCTTTACCCAAAGAACAGTTCCGTCTTTTTATTCTTGTTTTTCTTGGATGGAACTGCCCCATTTTTTTGTTGTTGTTGTTTGTTTGATTGATTAGAAATAAAAATTGATCAAGGGATTTTGAGTAACACCTACTGTAAAGTTTGCTACCCCATCTGCCAAAGGGCAAAGTCTAGCCTACTGAGCTGAACCAGTTTGGTCTCTTTCTAGCACTCTTGATTTGCAAACAAGTAAATTGCAAAGCAGGGCTTATTTGCTTTTGACCATTTCCCTCCCATGTTTCAGTTGTCACCTGATCTCTTTCTTCAGTTGCACTGATACAATGACATGCAAATGTTGGCAAATGAATGTCACAAACCACTCTTGAACCACCCATCAATAACTGGTAGAGTTTGTAAAGCATTTTTTGATTGATGCACGGTTGGTGTTGCTTTGTTAATCATGATATAGAATCACACTTCTTCTTCCTATTCCAGACATATGTTTATTCATTCTGCTTTGAAATTAATTTCTTAGCAACTACCCTCCACTCTGAGTGCATCAAGTCTTGTTACTCAAATTTGCTTTTGTTTTCGGATTTACAACTTTTCTGGACACAGAAGCTCCAAGGCGCAGTTGATCAAAATATATGGAAAGTCCATCTAGAGATTCCTAAAGTTGGGATGGAATTGATTGCCATCTGTCTCAGGAGTTCTGTATATACAGAGTGAGTTATACACTGTTGACCAAATTTAGTATCATACATACGTCATACATACATGAATTGGAATGTAGTGGAGGTATGTGGTGGAGTGTCCTGGTTTGTATGTATTTGATAGATAAGAATGATAATAATTAGAGCACGATGCAAATGGAGTGTCCTGGTTTGAGGTAAAACAGAACTAATTTTCTGTTCAGTAATTTTACTTTTTTAGTTGGGCCTCTTCTAACTAACTAAACTCTGAAATTAACAGCATATTGTTCAGAAACTGTTCACTCTCACAGTGACAAGACCTGATGATACCAAGGAATGGTGTGCAGAGAGGCCCCTGCTTATACTTATTGCTATAACAACCAAGGTCAGGCAAATTTGTTATTTGCCCATTGGAGGTTTGGAAGTGGAAAAGCGTAGAGGGGTCCCACCTGTGGGGAGGAACGGACAGGACAGGTGACCCAAAACTGACCAACAGGGTATTCCATCCCATCCGCATCATGTTCAGTATAAAAGCTGAGAGATCAAAGGGTCAACTCTCTTCCTTCAATGGCCGACGTCCGAGGAGGACCCTGTCTGTTCTTCTGCCTTGGATCCCGATCCGAGCGTTCCTGACTCCAGATCTGGAATCCAGCTCCTGTCCATCACTGAGTCCGGCCTGGGACTGTCCCCTGCACCTGCTGGTGACGTGATCGTCATCCTGGGAGCTTGATATGGTTTTGTATATACTGTATACTTTTTTTTTTTTCTTTTTTTCCCTTTTCTTCTTCTTATTATTCCATTATTTATTTATATTTTCATTAAAATAGTTTAGTTTTTTTCTAAGCTCATAATTATTTTTTTTATTACCCCTCTTCCTCTCCTCTCTTTTCATTGTGGGGGGGAGGGAGGGTCCATCTGTCGTTCTGGTTGGTCAATTCGGTGAAAACCACGACATGGAGGTTGATATCTCATATAAAACTTACACCAGATACCATCTCTCTCAATAAAGTCAAACATATAGAAAAGGTAATGAAGAATTTTTGTAATAAAGCAAGATGCTGAAATAATGCATTTTATAATAATATTCTGCCCATCCTATTTCAATGGTCTCTATACTTAATTTAACACATTGTAGGATGAAATGAGATTAGTCTAGGTTCAATATTTATAAAGTCAGTGGAATAGAACAAGACAGGCACATGAATCCACTTCTTTTAATGTTAAATGTAAATGTTTAATGTTAAAAAATGTCACTTGTGTATAGAGCTGAAAGCGAAGGCATGAGCTACAAACTGCTTTAGGAAAAAAATTGTGGTACATGAAGATTTCAGATTTTGTAGGATTCCTAGAAAACTTTCTTTTCAAAAGTACAGGGAAAAAACCTAGATTTTCTGTGATTTTGTACCTTAGTCCAAAATTTTCATCTTTACAAAAGAAGCCTCCTTGCTTTCCTGCAGTTTACAGATAAATCAGGATAACACCTGACCATTAAACAGCAGGTTTTTAGGCTTTTTTTGCACAGGGTTCTGGAAAACTTTGGAGCTGACTAAAAATGTCACCATCTTCTCATGAGCAGCACAGAGACCGAGCTTGTAATTCTGAAGTTTATGGTTTGTTCATATCCCTCCTGTCCTGACAGTCAGTCTCATGAGTAAAGGTTTATTCTTTAGATAGCAAAGACTTTGGATTTTCTCCTCTGGATCTGAACTTCCAAGGTTCACATCTGCTTCCTGCTTCACTTCTGCTTCCAGGTTAAAAAAACAAAACAAAACACCACAACAACAACAGGAAGCTCTAGGAAAGATCTGATGGAGGTTGTCTCTGGGTTTGTGATGCATCACAGACTCAGAGGCCACAGGGAAAGCATGAATGAACAGGGTATGTTCAATTGAGAGAGAAAAAAGGAATGTATGTAAATCTTCTAAAGTATAAAAGAACTCAGCAAAGACAAAGGAAATACATTCTTCATGTCTGTAATGTGCTAGAAAGAAAAAATTGATTTAAAATCTATTAAGGAATATTCAAATTAGGAAAAAATTGTTAAGAAAAGTGAAGTAACCAGATTGTCTGGAGCTGGCATGGAATCTCCATCTTAGATGTGTTTCCAAGCAGGTTAAACAAATGTCTTCCACTATGAGTAGCAGATCTTGCCTTAGGGTGCTAAATACAGAAGTTGACCTTCTGAAGCCCTTTTTACTTCTATTTAAGTCTCCACACAGGCTTTCTAAGGAAGCTAATTTCCCAGGATTGTGCTGTTAGCCTGAGTTATTTCCTTAACAAGTCAGGTAATAAACCGTTAGAAAGCTTTAACAAATCCAACAGTTCACTTACCCTGACTAAGGTGTTACACAGAAAGAAATGGGAAATAAAGATTTGTTGGCTTTGCTGCCCAGGGGTTTTTTTGGGTTTTTTTGAGCAGGGGGTTTTTTTGATAATCTGGCGTTCTGTAGTGACCAATAAAGCACCCTATCAATTGTTTTCATCCTATGTCAGTTCCTTTCTAAACCCAGCCTGTGATATGAATCAAACAGGGATTGTACAGCTTCCCCCAAGGCCAGCTTGAATGGCTTCAAAGAGTCATCCAAAGATTTGTCATTGTTCATATCTGTTAAAAATAATCCTTTTTAAACTGAGTTTCTAAAAATAAATGCTTAAATCTTCTTAAATACCACAGTTTTTGAATATTCTGTGTTGTGAACTCATTCACTTCAAAACAATTTTTTGCATGTTTGGACAGTTTCAAAAAAATCAGTCCAGCTGCTTATATAGAGTATGAAGGTCAAGCTTCCAAGCTTGCCACAGGAAGTACCTAAACTGGTAATCATTGTTCAAAATGCTTCTTTATCAGTAGTAGCCTGCATTTTAAGCCACTTTATCATGCATATGTCTTTAATGCTGCATGCATTGTGGTGATGATCGAAGATCTGGATTTCTGTTTTACAGGTTTTGCATTATTCCACTTTCTGCAGGGGCAAACATGCAGAAGGGTTTAGGAAGGAAAGCAGTGTAACAGAGTGCATATATACTTACATGGATGCTTCCCAAATAATCTACATTTTAAAATACCTACTTTCTTCATTTGTCTACTTTGGCTTTCAGGCAAAATTTCCATCTAGTAACTATTTCAGTCTGTTGTAAGCTTGGTGAAGGCAGATGGCTTTTTCTAAAATCTGTCTGCCAATAACAGCCTGAAAAGGATACCTGAAGTGTCCCATTAAAGTGTTGCATACTCAAATGTTTGCTGAACAGTAGAATATCAGCATGGATAGAAATAATGACATAAGCTTATACATAAAAAGCTTTCAACACTAACTTTGAGAATGATATATTGCTAAAGGTAATGGCACTGACGCAGAATGAGGTTCTAGAAAGTTGTGTGGTATTTCACAAAAATGAACTATGGAAATGTGTCCTTTATGGGTTCCAAGTGTAGTAATACCCTTCCTAAGAAAACTCTTCTCAATAAATTAAGTGTACAAATGCCCAGGGGTTTTCTTAACTTCATAGAATCACAGAATACCAGGTTGTAAGGGATCTCAAGGATCATCTGATTCAACTTTTCTTGGCAAAAGCACAGCCTGGACAAGATGGCCCAGCACCCTGTCCAGCTGAATCTTAACAGTGTCCGATGTTGAGGAATCCACCAATTCCCTGGAGAGATTATTCCAAGGGCTGATTGTTAGCATTGGGGAAAATTTTCATGTCCAATTGGAATCTCCCCAGGAGTAACTTGTACCCATTACCCCTCGTCTTTCCCATATGACTCCTTGTAAAAAGGGAGTCTCCATCTTCTTTGTAAACACTGGAACATGGTGATAAGGTCTCTCCTAAGCCTTCTTTTCTCAAGGCTGAACAAAGCCATTTCTCTCAGCCTTTCCTCATGTGGCGGGCTTCCCAGTCCTTTGATCATCTCTGTGGCCCTTCTCTGGACCCTCTCCTGCATGTCCACATCATTTTGCATAGCAGGGACCAAAACTGAAGGCAGTGGTCCAGGTGTGGCCTGAGAATGGCTGAGAAGAGTGGGATAATGATTTCTTTATCTCTGCTGGTGATGCCTTTGTTGATGCAACCCAGCATCCTGTTGGCTTTCTTTGCTGTGGCAGCACACTGTTCACTCATACGGAGCTTGTGGAGATCAATCCAACTTAAGTGGGTAGATCTATTTCCTAACATGGTTTTTCATAGCTAAGATCCTAGAGTGAATCAATCAGCTTAAAAAAAAATAATGGAAATTTTAAGTGCTATTTTGAGATAACCATGTGTTTCCAAAGAGACATCCAGAAAGCAGCTGGATCATTTGAAAATTAGTTGTTTACTGGAGGTATGTTGTTCTGTTTGAGCTCTTATGATTTAAGGTGTGAAGATAATACAATACTATTCCATCATATTACTTTTAATTTATTTGATTTTTTTTTTAAATTTCAGAATAATCTTTTAAGCCTTTTAGTCTCTAGAGAAGTAAATTCTGTGTGCATGGTACATTGAGACAAAAACAGTGAGTTATTTACCTGTCATTTTTCTTTCCTAAAAGTTCTCTGAACCTTTCTCCTGCATATAAGAAATTTCTGCAAGATCTCATTCTCCTTATTTTTTAATGCCAAATAAAAGATGTATTTTCTAGTATACTTTTACTCTCTTGAAGTTAAGAAAGTGGCTGTAAGTAACTCTGTCTGAAGCATTGGCAACTTGTGTGTCCTTGAAATAGTCCTCAAAAAATGTTGAGATCTGCGGAGGCTCCTACATAATCCTAAACTGAAAACAGACTCAGGAGTGGAAGTCTATTGATACTGTATTTATAGATAGCTTTTTTTTTTTTCTTTTCACAGGTAATTTGAGCCAATTATTACTTTCCATGTATTTCTGTGTCTAGCCAATTAATAGCACCTAGCTAACAGAAGCTCAGTGATTATGAGAATCCAAACCTGATTCTGACTGTGTATTGTCCAAACTATTTGTCCAGAGAATTTAATCTGTAATCAAATTCTTTCTGCATTTTGTCTCTTTCATTGCATGTTAACTGATAAACCAACAGGGTACTCATCTTCACAGATTTTCTTGTGAAGCATGAGATGCCCTATGGATAAATCATTCTAACGTTTACACAATTGCAGTGGATTAGAACTTCTGTTTCTGGAACAGCTCTTTCAGCTGCTGCTCAGTAGTTGCTTCTTTCTGTTGCATCAGCTCCCTGGCTCCTTTGGTCACTCCCCAGCCATCTGGCTTTGACATCGAAGGACAATATGGCCTGCCTGATGCAGGCTTCAGATTTTCCCAGTATTCTTTTCTTGCCCTAAAGAAAGAAAAGGAAATTCAGGTTTTTTTTTCAAGCACCTCACAATACTAAACGAAATAAGGCTTAAATGACCATTGCAAAGGGTCATCCAACTTGCACAGACTGACTTTATAATTAGATACAGAAGTATGAATGAAAGCATGCAATGAAATTCTATATGCTTAAAAAGTATCTTTGGATACTGGAACACCATTAGGAGCTGCTTTACAGTGGTCTGTCAATTTTTGATCTTAACTTTAATGGTTTATTTTCACATTAATTCAGACCAAATCTTCATTTTAAAGAGAGATGAGAATTTCTGGAGCTCTCCTACTGCCCCTTCACCTCTTTCTCTGCTTCCAGATCAGATTCAATTCTTCAAAATTATTAACACATAGAATGTTTACAGTGGTATTTAGACCTCCGTATCAGTGAAGTCAGTCTGCTGCACAGATCAATATAAGCCTTTGCAATGAGTATGTTGGTGTGCTTTCCAGGTCAGATATACATACCTTGCTCTGACCCAAGGTTTGGTGTGCATGCTCAGGTTATCGCCCCAGCTACCATGTTTCTCAGAAGCTTCTGGCAAAAATCCTCTTTCAGGACCCAGCTCCTCAGCTATTGCTCGGACGTGATATGGCTCAAATCCACAGCAACCTCCAATGTATCGAATCCCTAAGTCATAGGCTTTTCTTGCATATCTTTGAATATCCCATCTGGTTAAAATTCTTGGCTCCAGACCTGCAAATACATTAATATCTTACATTTCCACCATGCCCCATTTCAGTATGGTTTTTGGTAAAAAATCGTGTTGTTGAAACGCACACTATTTGCAAAACTGGTTGTAGATGTAGATGTACATGTTTGAATTGTCTGAGCTAGAATTAATGATGCAAACTTTCATAAGTCTACCTTTCAGATTCTGCTGTGCTCTGCTGAGCTATGCTTGTTGTAAGTTTTTTTGGCCTTGCAAAACAGCACCTATTATCTTCTGAGATTGATCAAGCCCTAAGTCATATGCTTGCCATCCTGCCAAAATTCTTAACTGGAGTATGAGAGTACTTTCAATGTTACATCTGCATTTCCGAGTTGCTAATAAGCAATATCTGGAAAATCTGATTACAGATTTTATCTAATCTGTAATCTAATAGATGAAAGGAGAAGGTATCAACCTACCTGCAACAGGAATAAGCCTGCTCGTTATTCCTCAGGAATGCTTACTACACTTTTTTCCATGATCGGCTAGTAGCAGACAGTTGTTTCACTGACAGCTGGGATCTTTTGCTGTTTCTTAGCCCATCCCTTATTTAGTTATAATCCCAGCCCTAACCAGCTTGCTGCCTCCAACTACTTCATTCCTTGTGGAAAGTACAGTTGTGGAAAGTTCGGATGCAATCTTCATTTTGAATCCTTCTCCCTGCTGCAGGCTGTGGTGAGCAGACTGAAGGGATAACAGAGCTGAGAGGAAGGATTTGTGGAAGAAAAGGAACAGAAAGTGAAAAGAACAAGGAAAAAAACACCTCAAGGAGGAGGCGGCACAAGAGTGGCAAAACAGAAAGAAGAGACCAATACTGAAGAAGAAACTTTAAGGAATAAAAATGCAGGAATAAAGGAATAAAAAGTCTCCCACCTCTTTTTGCACATATGCAGGAAGTGAACCAGCATGGTTATCAGGCAAGTTCAGTGTGACGCCTGCACGCTGAATGCTCCGCTGGGCAAAGAAGCTGTGGTGAGGTAGCAAGGCTCCAGCAACACAGCAGTGAGGTGGGATTGTTTTCCCTATGCCCTTCCCCCAAAACACCTAACATACATACAAGAAGGTGATACAAGGCAGATCTATTCTAAGTCCAATGGGTATTTAAAAGACAGGTTCAGAAAAACAAAAGCAGAAGGAAAAAAATGAAATGTTCTTAAACAGAAAATTATTGGTCTCAGAGGGAAAGACTTGACAAAAGAAAAGTAGATGGCCTAATATCAGAAAGAAAACCACATGAAGCTATCTTAGAAAGCTGTTTAAATAAAGTAAATTTGCGTACAATCCTGCAAATGTGAGAGAAAGCATCAGAAGCACAAATTCATGGACAGACATGGATTTGACGGGTGGACCAGTCAGTGAATAAGGAATTGGCTGGATGGCCTTACTCAAAGAGTTGCAGCTCAATGTCTGGGTGTAGACCAGTGATGAGTGGTGTCCCTCAGGGGTCCATACTGGGACCAGTATTATTCAACTTCTCTGTTGGGAACATGGACAGTGGGATTGAGTGCACCCTCAGCAAGTTTGCAATGAATCAAGCTTAGTGGCATGGTTCGTACTCTAGAGGGACAGGATGCCATCCAGAATGACCTCCACCGGTGGCCCTATGCAAACCACGTGAAATTCAACAATGCCAAGTGCACGATTAGAGCAATCCCAAACATGGATACAGGCTGGGGAATGGGTGGATTGAGAGCAGCTGTGTGGAGAAGGACATGGGGGTTCTGGTGGATTAAAAACTGAATATGAGCTGGCAATGTGCACTTGCAGCCCAGAAAGCCAACAATATCCTGAACTGCATCAAAAGAAGTGTGGTCAGCAGGTTAAGGGAGGTGATTCTGCCCCTCTACTCTGCTCTTGTGACAGTCCACCCAGAATACTGCATCCAGCTCTGCAGCCTTCAGCTCAGAGGAAAGACATGGACCTGCTTGAGTGGGTAGAGAAGAGGGCCTCAAAGATGATCAGAGGGCTGGAGCACCTCTTTTGTCAGGACAGGCTGAGAGAGTTGGGGTTGTTTAGCCTGGAGAAGGCAGCTCTGGGGAGACCTTACAGAAGCCTTCCAGTACCTAGAAGAGGCCTACAGAAAAGATGGGGAGGGAGAGTGTAGTGATAGGAGAAAGGGTAACAGTTTTAAACTGAAAGAGGATAGATTTAGATTAGATTTTAGGAAGAAATTCTTTACTGTGAGGGTGGTGAGACACTGGAACTGGTTACCCAGCAACGTTGTGGATGTCCCATCCCTGTAAATGTTCAAGGATAGGTTGGATGGGGCTTTGAGCAACCTGGTCTAGCGGAAGGCATCCCTGTCTGACTCATGAAATTTCTGAAAGCTGAGGTCTCATTCAGATTGCTTACAACATACAAGCCAAGAACCATAACAAGCCTAAGAGTCAGTCCTTCAATTCACTTGATTACTTACTGCATCTGTTCTGTCTTTTTTTGCTTGCAATCAGAGAAGTTATATGAAGGAATGAATAGGATAAATGAGTTCCTAACACTTTTAAATATCCCAGAATATTTTCAGAACTCAGACATGTTATTATCATTTAATGAATGCCTCAGGCTCATACTTTATTCTTCATTTATGTAAAGAATATAAAGAGAGGAATTAAAAAAAAAATCTTCCTGAAAATCACCTCAATCTCTTATTTTTTTTTGCTACAAATTCAAGTTTCAGATTTTTTAATACCTTATTTTATAGTCTGATCTTGAAAAGAAGAGCGTATGACACCTGAAAATGCAAGCATTTTTCTACTAAATTTTAAAATGTTTAGGCTGATTTTGTCCTCATCTCAAAGTGGAAATAAGGCCTAAAAACACAAGCCTTTATATATACATAAAGTAGCTGAATCTTTCAGTCTTTATAGAATTTCTCCTGAGCATACATGTGACAAATCCATCTCCAAACTGCTGATCCATTTATTAGCAACATCAAAGAACATATTCCCTCTTCTGGTTTCTCTCTAATGTCACTTGCATTAAATAGTTGCACTTGCAAGACTGAACCATTACGAGTGCAATAATCATGCACCTATATCCAGTTCTGCATATGCATTGTACATTAAATGCCTATGCAGGTAAACATGTGAATTGTCGGACAGATGTCAACACAGAATGGTGAGGAGCTCCAATGCTTTGGAGCATTTAACTCTGGGGGGGTTTTTTTAGGCTATTTCCTCATGTTCATTTCTTTGGACTTTTTTTAGCTGTCCCAAAGAAGACTGTATAGCACAAGGAGAAACTACGTTTTTTTAAACTGAGTTTAGGCTGTGACACTTTAACTGTTTTCATCATAATTTCACTTTCAGTCACATGCTGTGATACTACTGAAGTACTCTCACTATGTGGATGATCTTTGATCCAATATTACACTGTAATCCCTCTAAGGAAAATGCCAGACAGCATAATTGGGACTCATCCTATTGTATAGAAGGACACCTTGCAGCTTCAGCTTCACTAAAAGCTAGGGAAAAAAGGGAACAGACAATAAAAAAAATAATAATAATAATAAAAAAAAAAAAACAACTAGAAAAAAAGACACCCTTGTCTTACCAAATGGAAATTCTGGAAGATCAATAAAACCCTGCTTTCCGCAATCAGGTGTGTGGAAAGCAAGTGGTTGGCACATCAGGTGGGCTTTCAGTTTAGCGGCCTGCAAGCCCTCTTTCATCAGTCTCACGGTTTCCAGGGAAGTATCTGGATCAAAATGGCAGTTGACTCCAATAATAGAAGCACCTAGGAGGAGGAAAATAACTTCAAGTCATATCTCCCTAGGAAGTGGGAGGTGAAAGTTCTTAGCCACAGCACTCCAAAAGCAGAGCAGTCCATCTTTACACCAGCATTATGAAAACAAGACAGTTAGGCTAGAGCCAGCCTCTTTACCTTCTCGATAATGCAACACATCTCCCATCCTTTTACAGTTGCTTTTCTTATCACCAGTTAATCAATGAATACTGGTTATGTACAGCCATGTATGCAAATAGCTAGCACTTTCCTAACACACGTTCTACTTTTGGATTTCAATGCTAACTCCAAAGGAAAAGAGTAGTTCAGAACAGATGTAATAAACCCCTAGACCATCATTCATTATGCCTCTTGTTAGTTTCTTCTGCCCTTCCCCTTGTCCTGCAGAAAACACAACCTTTGATAGGCAAAAGATTAATTTTTTCATCCTCTTATTATCTCATCCTGGGTTTGAACTGTGCTCCATACACTTCTAAAAAGATGAGCAGAGAATCAAAGGTGGCTTTGGATTCTGCTTATGTTTCCAGAATTTGAGGCTGCCTCTCTAAACAAATTTAAGTAGCTTTAGGATTTTGCTCTTTTCAGTGTGAGCTGCCTGTGGCTATTGCACCCAACACCATCCTGGTTAACAAGAATTTCATAGCTGCATTTTTCTATGTTTGTTAAAAAGGCTGCCCTAGTAAAGTGCACATAGAAACTTTTCTACAGGGTCAAAACTTTTTTCAAATATAATTGGGAAGCTACCTACTTGAGATACACATCCATTTATCTCAACACTTAAGGACTTGACTCGGTACCATACTTTTAAATGGCATATTAAAACAGATTCTTACCAGCCTTTACCAGTTGGACAGCACATTGTCCAGGGGACACACCATGCATGTCTCCTTCCGGACCAATGCACATCGTAGCTGCAACTGGCTTTCCAGATTCTTTCAGAACTTCAACTGCCCAAACAGCCTCTTCAACATGTTCAAAATACTGAAAGACATTTAAACTGGACTACTTCTGTTTCTTGGAGATGAAGCATAAACACCTTAATCCAGACCACAAATTCACCAGCAATACAGTGACTTGATTATTTTCTGATTTGCACTAACAGAATTCAATCAAGTTTACTGACCACACAGTTAGAAAAGGATTATAAAAAGTCAGTAAGTAAAACTAGATGAAAAATAATGGTTTCAGAATAAAAGTGCCCATACAGGAGGTTAATCAGGCATTTATCCCCAAAGAACTATTTTCATGTAGAAGAATCACCTTAGCTTGATTTCTTACGATATATAGGAGGAAATACTAACTTGTCAACGTTACATTAATCAATCCTCTGTACTAGTACAGAATTTTACTTGACTGAGGTAGGCATTTAGGTTGCAAGGTCCTATTCTAGGATGCTTGCAGATGCTGCCGTGCCTTTAGAAAAATATCTGATACTACTGGAATAAAAGCATAACAGAAATTTTTCAAGGAGGAAAAAATACATACTTCTAGCCCCTGAAGAAGATCAGATACCTTAAAGTTAACACTGTGCCAGTTGAAGGCATGTCCTTTTTTTTTTTTTACAGATTTACCTCTGCAATCAGGAAGTCCACGTTCTTCTTCATAAAGACATCTAGTTGCTTTCGAAAGGCTGCTTTAACCTCTGATTTATCCTTGCAGCTTAAGTATGATGGTGTTTGACTGACTCCTCCAGCCACTAAAGCATCACCTTCATTAGCCACTTCTCTTGCAATATCACAAGCAGCTTCATTAACTTTCTGGCACTGTACAAATACAGATTATGTCAGTTTTACCTGGTCACAGACATGCATGTAATTTCAGAGCACAAAAAGGACAAAAATAGTCAAAAGCCAAATGGCTTATTCATATTCTTTTATAATTCAAATGGATTTTAAAATAATATTGATTAGGAAGTCAGTGGCTTTCAAAAAAAATAATAAACAATAGGAAACACATTTCTTGACACCTCTAAGTTATCATATTATCAAATACTACAAAAACATACTACCTTTAATATGTCTTACACAGATAGTCTAGAAAAAGCAAGTATTCAGAGTGCAATGGAATTTTCTTTGCCACTTAAGTGTATGCTTTTATTCTGACATTTTTGGGTGAAAACAAAATATGTAGTGATTTCAATTGATGTTTTTAAAATTTACATTAGTATTTTGATAATTTTCAATACGTAAGATATAGTATCCGTATAGAGTTATCTAAGGCATTTTTAAAAAGGTATCTTTAATTGTCTGATGTTAAAGTTACCGATTTAGGTATAGTCAAGGGAAACTTATCACTATTTATGATTAATTAATCACCTAGACTGAAAGATACATTCCCTCTATACTGAGATCAGAATGATTGGAACAGCTTGTAAAAAGCAAAGAGGTTCAGCTGGGAAAAAATATTTTGGGAAAAGAATAATTATTTGGGACAGAGAACACGTACAGATTAGAGCATGTTTCTCTGCAGCCCATGGACTACTTAGAATCTACATAGTTTTCTCTCAGGTGAATTTTTGCACGACTGCCTCAAAAGACCCAGCTGATTTTTAAGGTTATTGCTAACTGATTGTCTTCTGCTTGCAATTGTGCTCAGGTACATGTTTGGGAACTCCAGGAGGTGGAGCACTAAATCAGTTCAAGCCTGGAGGAACCTGCTTGTAGAACTGGCGACAAATCAATGGTGAAACCTTTGCTGCAATGCATTCCAAATACCAGTCTCTCTCCCAGCTCTTCTTATAATTTTGCATGGCAGCAAGAGTTGCAGCATGGCTTGTTCCAGAGGCCCTGTGATTCTGGGACTACCAATTCAGACATTTCAATGTTGCATCTATCGAATGTAAAGGTACAGCATTTCAGATAAATTTGGTCATACGAGATTTTGGGTTGATTTCTTAATTAAGCCTCAAGTGTTTCCCTAGCGTCCAGATAGTTCTAATTTCTGACAAAGATATTCCTTCCTCCCTGTCCCCTGGAGAATCTTCTCTACTTTGCAGAGGTTGAAAGAGACAATAGGACAACAGGGGACAGGATCAGAGAAAACACTCAATGGCAAACCTCGTCCCAAAGGAATTTATCCAGAAATGTGTATGCCAGAAGTTAGTTGTTACTTTATTGAAGACGTGGTTCTAATAAACATTCTGTTCTCATTATTGTCTAAGATTCTTCACCATTTTTGCAGTTGGTTTGTTTCTCTGAATGTTAAAGCATTTCTTTTTTTAACTGATTTTGCTCTCTGTGCGTTTAGTCCTCCCTACACTTTTTGTATCAAAATTCCAGTAAACTAATGTCCTCAAATGGGAAAAATAGGATCCTCTTTCTTCTTCTCTTAATCCTTGTCCCATTTTGCTATTTTTGCTATTTTTTTGTCCTTTAAGCTCATCTTTCTTGCTATTTCGAACTCTGAAAATGCATCAACTCATTCTTTGGTCCTCAAATATAGCCAAAACTGTTATGATGAACTGTTGAAAGTACTTGATAATTTGAAATTAATCCATTTATATCATATCACCATCAAAACAGAGCTTTACTCACACTTATTTTCTCAGCTACATAATTGCCCCTGTTCTCTAGTTTGTCCTCACTGGCATAAAAGGTGAATGTCTGCAGAACATTGGATCCAGCTCTGAGAAATTCCCGGTGAAGCTGGCGAACTGCAAAGAATTAAAAGATACAAAGAATAGATTTTTGGTACAGTTATTACTGTTGTTATCTTAAAATTAAATGTTTATTGAAGTAATGTTACTGTAAAATAAGTTATACTGTGTTTACTTGCAGACCCACTTTGAGAGAGTAGAAGCAGTACCCCAATTTGTGTAGAATTTCTTTTTTCTCACTCTCAGAACATTACATAGAAAACCTTTTTCCTTAGTTATTCTCTGCTAAGAGTGACTGAAGATTTCTATTTAGTTTTTCAGTAGATTCAGTTTTGCATGGACCTTGACTATCTTCTACTTTCTGCAGTCTTTCAGACCTCCCAATTTCATTTTATAGAACTGCATAGTGGTTTAGGAAGGGAAAGCAGACATCTGACAAAAGAACATGAAAGCATAATGAGGAATACCAGACAAAAAAAAATCATCAAAAGAAAAAGATGTATTTTCTTAGCTTCTAGACTATGAAGAAGGAAACAGAAGAAAGGATCATAGTAACAAATTAAGGGGCAAGATGATACCTATGTGGAAGAATACAGTGTTCCATAACCTCCTCTATTTCGTATGTTCTGGTTTTTCCCCCCTATGAAACTCTAGCTGAGTCTAGTCAGCCAAAATCAATGCTCTATTTTGCTAAATATACCCTTGATTAGAAAATGAATTGTTGCTCTAGAAAAGTGACTCGCAACACAGACTTAATTCTTCCCATAAGTCAACACGATGATTTTACTACAGAGCCCGCACTTCTTTTGAACAAAGGATTGGCATTACTTTTAATGGACAAATTGCCTACATTGGGACTTTGGGAGCAGGCTCTGTAATGGTAGCTCTGCCTTCATCACTGTAAGCAGTATACTGCAATCACCGCAGCAGGAACAGAACAGGAGCTGTCAATTTATTTTACATGTATACCCACAGAACAATAATTATAATAATTTCTAGAACACTACTGATTATGAAAAACAGAGTTAAAATGCTCAACAGATTATAGCAAATACAGGAATAATTTATTTCCCAGATACCATACACAGACAGAAGAACACTATAGCTTCTGTGGCATATGTTTGGAAAAGTTTTCCTGAAGTCCTGGTTTATCATACATCATTGTCTACAGACAATCTGTGTCATTATGGAAATGTGTTAATGTGTCATGAGAATAAAATTACTCCCTTCAGACGCAACAAACACAGCCTTTTATGCCAGAGAAGCTCAAATAGCAGTTTGAGTTGCTAGAGTCAATCTGCATACATGCAAGCACGTCTGCTTTCACTGAAGGAACGGTGTAGTGTCCCTTGCTTTTCTCTACTAGTACGGTATTTAATTTCTAATTACAGCCTTGGATAACCACACTGTGACTTAACACAAGGCTTCTTTTCCCAGCAGTTACAAAGACCCACCCAGGCGCATGGATTATAGCAGAGCTATGGTTCAAACAGTCCAGGGAACGTGCCTGAACTACCAGGATCAAATTCCAACCTTACAAACTTTACGGAGGATCAAAACCATCCTAGTGCAGGGAGTATTCTTCTTCCTACAGCATTAAAATAAGCTAGTGATCCCAACTACAACAGCTGTCTGTATGTTTCCAGTGTCCTGTAGTTTGTTTTTCTAGTGTCTCCCATGAGAAATCATTGATGAAACTAATCAGGAAATGGAAAAAGGAAAAAAGAATCTCCAAAGTTTTTCACAAATGCTCTAGGACATTTCCATAATAAATCAGATTTGATTATCCCAATGGTTAGTGCCCTTTAGATAAGCGTCTTGCATTCCTAGAAGAATGCCTGGAATTTTTCTGAGTAAGGATGGTCACGTAGGTAGGCAAATGAGACATAACCTAACACGTATGATTAAGGAACGTCATATCCCAAACTATCAGGTATGTGAATAGGAGACTCTTGAATGTCTCATTTGACATTTTGAGGGAAAGAATAGTGTTACAAGTATCAGCCTGAATCTCATGCAACCCCAGGCAAATTGTTTTTACCAGTAGAATACAGTGTTCCTATTATCCAGCAGGAGGCAGTCTGCACTATGGAAAACCCAAACCACTCGATAACTTCTTGTGTGACTTCCCGCATGTTGCTGAAGCTGTGTTTACCTCCAGCATTTGAGAAATGGAGGTAACAACCACATAAGAGGCTAAACAGTTATTAACAATGTGATGCATTTTAGGAGTCAGATGCGTAACACTGAATTTTCATTTTGAGATGCATTTCACAGGAGACACAGAGTTAACAGGAGATGGTGGCAGTAAATGCCTATGCCTGTTGCTCACTACAGAACAATACTTGATCTGGCTCAGAAAAAAATATTTAGATCTTATTTCTAAGCTTGTCAGTCTGGCAAAACTTTTCTCTCCTAATGGAGATAATGACTCCTCTCCCATATCTCTGCCTTCCTTGGTACATTCTGAGAACCTCCCTCCTTTTCCCTCCTTCCTTAAAAAGGCAAGAAAGCCTGGTGGTTGTACAGTTTTTACAGCAGCTGGCTCAGCCAGTTGCTCCTTCTGCTCTTTACACCTGCTTTCAAAGTAATATGACCCTTGAGAATGCAGGAGCAAAAAGCAGTAGTGGAGGCGAGGCAGTACCCTGCACAAAAAGAAATGAAGGCATTTCCAGTGAAGGGCGTATTCAAGTGGCCTGTAAGGGGCTTATAAAACTGTTATAACTATATTACAGACATAAACAGTATGTTCTAGCAAATCGGTAGCAATTCTTAGAAGTCTGGATTCTAACCTATGACTACTGATCACTAATTTAAAGCAAATCTGTGTGCCAATTTAGCCAGTTTAAGTCATCTGTCTCTATGTAAGGCAATGTCCATGGACTGAGACCTGCACTTCCTGAAAGGACATGTGGAGAGGGTCACAGACTTTTGAGATGCAAAATGAGTCAGGAAAAGGGAAATAAAGACCATGGGGTAAGTGCTATGGCTAAGATGGAATGTGTAGGGACAGACAAAGGTAGGGAAACAGAGAGAGAGGTGGTGGGATGTCCTTTCGAGAGATGGGAGTCAGCAGATTGGGTCATCACTCTTTAAATCTTTGGAACTCCGCAGTACCTAAGGCTGCCTGTGACCCTAAGTCAGGCATACTGCACATTAAGCAACACCTGAAGACTGAGGAAGATTCGGGTGAGTAAATAGGCAAGGTGCATAAAGCAATGCAATACAGAGGGCTAAGATCTCTCTCCTTCCTCCCCTCCTCTTTTTAATTCCTCTGTACGGAGGAAAAAAGACTAATTTGGAAGGGCAAACACTTAGAACAAAGACATTTTTTTTCCCCAGGGATATTCTGAATTGGGATTAACTGCAAATTATATTACTCAGGGAAATGCTTTCTCATAATGAAGCACGCATAAATAAATAATAGCTTCTGCTCTTGCGCTATTTATGCTAAACATGATAATCTTTATGCTGGAAGGCATGGAATAATTCCATATTTTGTCTCCATCCACTTTAAGAGAGTTACTCAGAATCACAGAATCTTCTAGGTTGGAAGGGACCTTAAAGATCATCTTGTCCAACCGTCAACCTAACTGACAAAAATAGACACCCACACAACAAACAAGGAGCATCATCACTAAACCATGCCTCCCAGCACTACATCAACCCGTCTTTTGAACACCTCCAGGGATGGGGCCTCAACCACCTCCCTGGGCAGCCCATTCCAATGCCTGATAACCCTTTCAGTGAAAAAATTTTTCCTAATATCCATCCATGAAATGCTTATTGCAATTCTTAGATTCTTACGAGGTTCATCATTCCACATTTCACAGTAGACTGAGGTACATTAAATACTCCAATTCCATTGTTTATTAAAAGCTGCTATTTTCCTGAAACAATTAATATACAAACTATATTAATTTATAACAATATAGAAGTTCTAGAATTACTAGAACACAACAAAACAGATAGTTAACTGCAGAATTCTTTTTCACAAGATGTTTTAAATTATAAGCTTTATATCAGCTAAAGACCAGACTGGATAAATCCATGAGAGAGAAATCAGTGAATATTATTAATTGAAAATATACCACATGTGAGTCAAAAAGCCCCTGGGGTGCCAATTATTAAAGACTAGGGGAGCATTCTGGAGAGGTATCACTGTATATTTGCACTACTCATATTCTTAGAACTGGTTTTGGCCAGTATTAGAGCATAGATAAGCTATGGTAAGACAAGCATTTAGTCTATAGATTCTTAGGCTGTTCTTAACAGTGTAATTCTACAGTGTCAATGAACTATTCAAATAGAACTACTCTATTTAAAAACCTACTGCAAGTTCCTGTGTAATTATTATTTAGCCAAGCATGTTTACATTCACTACAAGGTTAACATTTCCCAGTAAAACTGACCTGCTTCTGGGTGCTCTACTGTCGCTTCAGGAGTCCAAGGCCCAGCTTTAACATATCCCCTCTTCTCAAGAGCAAAGACAAATCCTCCATCTCCAATCACAATTTCTCCAGCGTCTAAGCGCTCTAGAATACCCTGAAGAAAGCAGAAGGAAAAGTTAACAATTACAGTTCTTCAGTTTTGTGGGCTTCCTTCGTTGCCGTTTCCTGTATTCACAAAGCAGACATAAATGTGGGCTACCAGAAACACCTTTGCTGTAGTAGTAAAAGGTAATAAATTTCCTTCTTTAAATTCTCTTTAAAGAATGGTAGATGGTCTGTCTTGCAACATAAGGCTTTAATATGTGCATATATATTATGTAAAATTTTCATTAGTCAGTTTTATTGTATTCCAGAGATATAGTCCCCAGAACTAAAAGTCAATGGTCCAATTCCACTCCTATGGAAGTAAAACAGTCTCAAATTCTCCTGTAAAATATATGAGAAACTTAGTAAAACGAAACAGTAGTATCACCGACCTCTTTACCAACTCATTTGCTCTTTAGCTACAAATGCCATTTTGACGGAGGCTCAGCACAAGTAGCTTGTGACACAAGATGGCACAACAGGCATCACAGAAGAGTGTGACATTTTCCTACCAAATAAATCATACCTCAAAATGCTGGCCTCCATTTTCTAACAGACTTCTCACTGGCCTGGGTTTGCTTACCTAGACTTACAAAATGAAAGAAAATCCTGCTTGTTTTGCACAGCTCTGAAGTGTTTTAAGATGCCAAATTCCAAACTTTATAGTACCCTCTGATTAACCTTGCTTCTGCCTTGAACTCCATGCTAATGCAGGGAGAGTAGTCATTATTCTCTGGTAAAATTGAAAAACATGAGAATAACATATATCGGCTGCAACTAATATATATTAATTTTTGTGTTCCTTTCATTGCTTCATTGACTTCTCCAAATTTTCCAACAAGTATACCTTGCTACTACACTAAATAGGACTAATTTCTGCAACTGGAGCATAACCATCATTCTATTTACTTTAAAAAGTGGATGAATGCAGACCCATTACATTAACAAAGGTAGTGGCTACAGGAAAAGAATTAATTAAAAGTAAGACTGAAATTTCCCTCCATAGTTGTTTTTTTTTTTTTTTTGATGGCACACTAGCATTTCAGTAGATGAAATTAGAGGGAGTAGGAAAACAAAAACCCTGGTGAATACAGACTTGAGTGTGGTTTTCATGCTGAGAGGTAACAATCAGCCTCCAACCTTCAGTAGATTATCTCTCTTGATAATTTCTCCTTCATTAATTCAATTATCTCGCAGCATATATCCAGGAAAGACAAACATTTTTGGCATCTCAGCACCACCCTCTAGGCAGGATGAGAGTATGCCTTTCCAACAAGAAGGAGCACTGTGCCAGCTGTGCCAGTTCCAGTACCGAGCACAGCAGGGTAAGGCTACTTGGAGCCTACAAAGCCTGGCTGACAGGGTCAGCGTTTTGGGCTCAGGCAGTGACATGCCAGCAAGGTGGCAGGACTTCTCCGTATAGTGCTGCTGTGCAGACACCTGAGCTTGGCCAGGTGTTGGTTGCAAATCCCCGTTTCACGTTCCATCGCCCATTGTGGACTTGCCAAAATATATATTGAGCTGATTAACTTTATAAGTTTAATACAGTGCACAAGCTTTTATCTTTATTTCAGCAGGGCCAGGACAAAATTCAGTGTGCAATACTCGATCTCCAAAGCTCAATGAGCCTACCCAGTCATGCTTGTCTACTAGGGCAATTCTGTTCCAAGTGTAGATGTCATGAGGCTTTGGAAAGATTGTGTTTTCAATTACCTAATTTGCATTTGTAACAGAATGCTTCAAACGGGGCCAGAGAAAGGCACCCAAGAGATCACTGGTTGAGTCCCTGCTTCTTCTGCCTGCCAAGAAATCTTTTATAGACATAGCCTGCTTCAGAAGTTTAATATACAGAGAACACGAGTGCAGAGGAAAAAAGAATTTTTAACATACAAGCAGCTTCAGCGTTGCTTGTTAATTGAATATTAAGTAATAGATACATGTTTACAACATGTATTGATATTATATTTAAATGTACTACATGTAACAGATTTTTCTGTTTAACAAGTCACTTCTAGGATTTAGCAACAACAGTTTTTCTTCACAGTTCCAGCTTTTTTAAACTGTATTTTAAAATAACCTTCACTTTTGACACACAGAAGCAACATAAGCCATGACAGAACAGTCCGTAGCATCTTAGCGCATAATATATTGTGATACATTAACCCTAGCATTGGGGCATCTAATAGCAGGTGAAATAACTATAAGGCACAAAGTACTTTATACAAATTTAGTTAGTTCAGATTGGCTTAAAAAGGAAATAACTTTTTTTTTAAAACTTTATTACAAGTCTGATATAATCCCTTCACACCATTTTTACTTTATCTATACAGGGGTAAAATACCACTGGTTTAATCAGCATACAACTAACATAAGCTCAGCATCAACATAGGTTGGTTCTGCCACAGAGACCTGCACCTCGGTGCTCATACCCGATCCAGATCAAAATTGTATTGTCAGGTGATCTGGTAGTACACAGATCTGGTATTAAATAACAAGAAATAGTATCTGTAAAAAGCTAACCAAGGCTTTTTTGAGCCATCTTTTCAGTGCTTTACTTTTGCTATCATGAATGAAGTTGCATCACATAGCCCATACATCTATCCATGGAAAGAGTGCATATGTCTGTATGAAGATACTCCCTCGACCACCTTTAGGAATGTAACTGAACCATGTAAATGAAATGCCTGCTTGCTCTGCCAATATACTACCTTTCCACCAGTAGAGAGAAAAGAGCGTCTCAAAACAACTATTCAGGTCTTAAGTGAGCCCTCAAGAGAAGCTCATCTCTCTGTGTGTTGCTTGTAGGGGGAACTTAGGGCTATTGCCTTCTGCTAGGTGTCTGAGGTTGGGTGGCATAAGTATGTGTCAAAAATAAAAGCAGGACAAATACCTCCCCAACTCCTTCTTTTATACCTGATGTCCCTGAAAGGCCTGAAGTTCACAGACATCTTCCCATATCCTTTTATTCTCTTACTCTAGACATATGCTACAAATAGAACCACAGAATCATTTAGGTTGGAAAAGACCTTTAAGATCATCGAGTCCAACCATACAACATAAAAAGGAGTAAAACCAGTTCCGAGTAAGAAATATCCTATTAATGATAATGTGTCCTTCTGAACAGAAGGTAGAACACCTTCCCAAGCAGCAGTGCAGGGTAGCAGTACAGGTATATGTGAGGGTTTGATTTAGACGTTGGTCATATGTTTGCATTCGTGGCCAGAATGGCTGATGCCTGTGTAACTTTTTATATCAGCTTTTTTCTTTTGCTAAGTGAGGGCACAAAGGGCATGCACCTATTGGAGACTGCACTCATTTTAGAAACACTGTTGATATTCAGTCGTTCAAATCAAAGGAAGAGCAAGTTGGGGCTTTCAAACAGAGTTGGCAGGATGCTGGTGGCAGAAAAGCCATCCAATGATAGCCTGTGCTTAAAATATTGACAATTTCAATGTGTTGCAAGCACTGCTTAGTTTGCGTATCAAATAACAAGAAGCAAAATGGTTCTGAGCGTTGGTGGCTCCAGCCTATGTAATCAGAGAAATCAAAATTCTATGAGCAATTACAGCATTACGTTCAACACAATGTACCTCCTAACAGCATCCTAATGCCTATAATGGCTCGAGGACGAATAGATATAGCTATTGCTATGGCTTTACTTTAGCTTTTTACAGCACGACCCTACCTGCAGGAACACGGAGTGCCTTTACCGGAGGTTGTCCCGGGCGGTCCGCAGGTCGCCCCAGGAGAGTCTCCGGGCAGGACCCCGGGGAGGCGGCCGGGTGCAGGGCCGGGGGGGGGCATGGTCCGTCGCGGAGCCGAGCTCTGTGCCCGGTGCCGCTGACAGCCTCCCGCCGCACCGCCGCGGGGCCGCCTTGTCCCCGCCGCCCAGA